ACGTGCATGCAATCGGGTCACAGGACAAGAACTTCCAGAAGGTTCTTCAGAGCGTCCAGTCGTGCACGTGCATCCACACAGTGCGTTGTGGAGCCTATAAAAGGCCGCCCACAATGGATTGAAGGTAGGGGAAAATTACAGATGTGAGGACATAGCGCTGAATGTATGAAGTGTTTAAGACAGCTGTATGAATTTGGTTTTGTGAATAAATATTCCCCCCCCCCCGGATGACGGAATGATGTGAATCGTCGGCCTTCTTTCTGTCATAAGAGAATTCTACCAATGAGCCTCCACAGAGTCAGTGATCTGTGGTTGGAAAACCCTGTTGGCAAATTATACCACGGTCTCTTGCTGCCACCTAGTGGATAACCCGAGTCGGTACAATTTTTAGGTTTAAAAATCCTGTAGGGGAAATATACCACGGTCTCGTGCTGCCATCTAGTGGATAAACAAAGGAGGTGCAGTATAGCCAAATTAGGTTAAAAATGCCATATATTAATTAGAAATTTAGCTTAGAGTCTCATAATAGGGCTCTACAGAGGTGGGTAGGGGTTAAATTAGTCTTTCAGAGGGAAAACATTAGGCCTATCATGGAGTAGTGATATTTAAAGATGTCCAATTGAGGGGTTAGGGTTTAGGAGTTAAATTTTGAAATAGGGCTTAGGAAAAATAATTAGGGTTAGATGTGGGTTAGGACTTAGGTTTAGGCTGGGGTGATAGAGACCTTAGGGTTAGGAAAGGCCTCTTCGGGAAGGGCATATAAATGGGGGACGAGGGGTTAAAATGAGGGATAGGGTCCAAATTAAATGAGGCTTCTAATTGAGCTGAGAGAAAAAACACAAGACAAAGGGGACCATTGTTCTCTGGGGCTGAATAGTGAAGATGAAGAGCAGCACAGGACCTTGGATTAACAGGTAAGTAGACTTTAAAATACAGGTAAGTACAAACCCATCCTGGTGAGATAGCTGGAACAATACACTACAGATAAATATACAGATAGGTATTTTAACCATGACCTTGGAATATAAAGGATGACCCTGGAGGGGACCCGGCTCCGGTGCGGCGCTGGCCGGTAAGGGTTGGGTTAGGGTGAGGGTTATGGGGCAAGGGAACCAAGAACTGGATCCCCCACCCCTCCCCACACCCCTCCTCGATGCACGGGCACGCATCCGACCACAGGTGTTTTCCCCAGGGCCGCTCCTCCACCTGTCCATGAGGCCACGGCCCACCAGCATCTCCAGTCCGGAGATCCAGATCTGTTCACTTCTCTGCGCTGTAGACCACACTAGGTTTCATCATCATCATCATCTATACACACAAAAAATTTTTTATAAACAATGTAGAACAACATCACCCCGTGTCTCTGTCATCCTCCCCTCCCAGGAGAGATCTAATGGGGTTCCCTGCTGGGTTCAGCAGGATCAGGTGTCGTGGGTGGAGGTGTGGAGGAATAGGGCTTAAAACGGAAATTAGAGGCTGGAACATAGGGCTTAAACCGGAAGCCAGCAGCCTTGTGGAAGCAGGAGCGTTGATGGCTGCAGCAGGGGCTGAGTGAGGATTTGAGGGCCCCGGGCTCTGCGTGGTCTCCCTCACCCTGCTGGGCTGAGCAGGCCTGGATCTTGTGGATGCAGGGGCTTTAGTGGCTGCAGCAGGGGCTGAGTGAGGATCTGAGGGCCCCGGGCTCTGCGTGGTCTCCCTCTTCCTGCTGGGCTGAGCAGGCTTGGATCCTGTGGGAGCAGGGGCTTTAGTGGCTGCAGCAGGGGCTGAGTGAGGATCTGAGGGCCCCGGGCTCTGCGTGGTCTCCCTCTCCCTGCTGGGCTGAGCAGGCCTGGATCTTGTGGATGCAGGGGCTTTAGTGGCTGCAGCAGGGGCTGAGTGAGGATCTGAGGGCCCCGGGCTCTGCATGGTCTCCCTCTCCCTGCTGGGCTGAGCAGGCTTGGATCCTGTGGAAGCAGGGGCTATAGTGGCTGCAGCAGGAGCCTCATGAGGAGCTGGGGGCCATAGGCTCTGTGTAGTGTCCCTCATTAGGCCTAGTGTCTCTCTGCTGTGCTCTAATGTCTCTTCCCTGAGCCGTCTTCCCAGATTTCTCCGGGCCCATTTAGTGGCTATTATAAATGAGGCCCCTAGGTTGCCTCCAAAGGTACAGAGTGTGTGCTTAAAGCAGGTAATGCTGTCCTGATAATGTTTTTTCAGAGTCTGGATTGTGTTGAAAGCCCACTGTATAGCATTGTCCTCAATAATAGTCTTAGTGTTCTCATTATTGCTAGCCGGTTTGATCACCTCTGTTAAATGAGTTTTAATTTTAAGCAGGTCCGGTGAAAGTTCATATTTTGTCATGTTTTCTAGGTGATGTTGTGCTTTAATCAGTTTAAACCACGTTCTGACCTTCTGCTTAAAAAGAGGGTCCCCAGATTCTGCTTGGTTCTGCTCCGGTTCTGTTGGGTTCTGGCGGTCCTGTGTTGTTGCGGGTGGTTCTGGTGGCCGGTGGTGGGCGCTGGGTCTTTGTGTGCCGCACTGGTGGTTCTGCTGGGCCGGTTCGGCTCTGTGTTTCCGTCCTGCATGTGTGGGTCCTACCCGGCTTTGATTCTGGTTCCGGTCCGGTTGGATTCCCGCTTGGTTCCCCGCGGTTCTGTTCGGTTCGGCCGATTGTGCGCCGCCGCGGCCGGGTCTGGAGGCTGGAGGTGCGCGCTGTCCGTCTGTGCGCCCTGGTTCTGCCGAGTCGTTTGGGCCGCCCTGTTGCGCTCTGCAGCTCGTTGCGGTTCGGCCGGTCGGGAGCGGCTGTGGCCAGGCCTAGGGACCGGTTCTGGTTCTGCGGAACTCGCCTTTTGGGATCCGGCTCATCATCACTGTCTGCAGGCCCCCTCATAGCAGTACGGACCATGTGCTGTGATTCCGTCTGGAGCTAGGGGCTAAGCTATACTGTGCAGCTAACTATGGTTCGTAATAAAAATAAAATAAAAAATCCTTATAAAGGAAAAGAGGACGCTGTTTGGATCAGCTTTACTGCCGGTCGGCACTTTTATTAAAGCTGTACATACAGAGAAAACAAGCCGTCGCGACGTTTCGAGTGGACTTACTCTTCTTCAGGCAGGCTTGCTAACTAAAATTACGAACCAGTACACAGTAACATAAGCACATTCAAATCAAAATAACCACCATTTATTGGCTGTCGGGGGGAGAAGGACCTCGCTGCAGCAAACAGAAAGGGGCGGGGACGGACCTTTCCGTCAGTCCCATACCTTATTTGGAAATGGGACTATTGCATTCCGGAAATGAAGGGGGCGCTATTTTCATAATCACTAGTATAAATGCCTTAAAGACGCGGGGTTAAGA